TTTGAGATTTGGGGTTTTTTTTGAGATATGGTCTTGCTCTGTTGCCCAGGCTGGAGTGTAGTGGTGGCGTCATCATAGCTCATTGCACCCTGGACCTCCTGGGCTCAAATGATTCTCCTGCCTCAGCCTCCTGGGTAGCTGGGACTACAGGCATGTGCTACCATGCCCTGCTAATTAAAAAAAAATTTTTTTTGTAGAGGTGAGGTCTTACCTTGTTGCCCAGGTTGATCTCTAGCTTCTGGGCTCAAGCCATCCTCCTGCCTCAGCCTCCCAGAATGCTGGGATTATAGGCATGAGCCAGTGCACCTAGCCTGATGCAATGTTTTGATTCACTGTTAGGTATTCTAGAATACAACTTTAAGTTGGGTGCTGTATTTTTTGAGTTCATAACTATCCAAGTTGTGAGGAACAGTATTTTATTAGACATGCTCAGGAGCTTTCAGCTAAGGAGCAGGGAGACTTGGGGGATATTGATACTTGGAAGAAATGTTTTTGAGAACTTGTTTGTTGCTAGCTAAGAATGAGGGCTTTCCAAGAGCTTGCCCCAGATTTGAAACAGAAGGAGCAAACAAGGGCCCTTAGGATGATAGTTGTTCTTAGCCACTCTGTTCTGCCATCCCTTGGCCTCCACCAGGTTTCAGGCATCGCCAGCAGTTCTGGGCAGCAGCTGCAGTGCTTCCTAACCCCTCTGTGAGGGCAACTGGTTGGAAGACCCAAATACACAGAGAAGACAAACTGACAGTGGCTCATTGGAGTCAGTAGGTCACACCCAGCAGGTTCCTCTCTGGATTCTCTGCTTCCCTTTTTGTATCAGCTGTCTCAGCCTGTTAAATACTTGTAGTAGGAATCCCTCTGGATTCCCCATTGCACCTGTGCCTTCCTGGTCTGGGTATGTGGAAACAAGATGGCCCAGCTGGTGACTAAATAACAAGATGAAGTACATATTGCTTAGATTTTGTTGTTGTGGCTTTTTCCTCTTCCCCTCTGTGTCAGTGAGAGCAGAAGAGGTATGTGCCCTTTGTGTTCATTAAATCACTCAAGGGTTACCCAGCAGCAGGCATGATTAGAAGCCTTTTAATATTGATGTGCTTTGGTATTAAGTTCATTCACTTTTCTCCTTTGCCCACATCAAGGTGCTATATGTAAAATGGGCACAGGAGGAAGCCCTGGTTAGTATACAAGGAATGACTTTGTTTTCACTGGGAATCGTACAGAGTGAAAGGAGAGGCAAGTAAGTGCAGATTGTCATGTGCAGTCATCTCAGTTAAGCCACGTGCACATTAGTAACAGATTATTTGTAGGTTTGCCTGAACTCAGTGTGTTTTTTTTTCTTTTTTGGAGAAAAAGCATAGAAATTTATTATTAATGTGTACATGGGGAGAACCACAGGATGATTACCCTGAAGCCAGTGTGTTCTTAAACTTTATTCCTTGGGATGCTAACCAGTTAGTGCTCCAGTTTTGAGTGGTAGTGACACCAGCAGCTATCATACTGGCATTTAAAATGGGTGTAGTGTGGGTGGTAGTCATTGAATTTTTAAAAATTGCAATCCTGATGACCCTCCCAAACCTAAAAAGCACACCCTGCATCTTCTCTGCTGAGGGCAGCTTTTGTTGATTCCCTCTGGTGGTTTGACAGTAACCCATAAACTTACTAACTTAGAATAATTGGCCCATTTATAGGTATACAGTCATTTACAAAAATATGTGGGAAAATTTCGATGTGTACAACAGCTAAATTGCAGGTAGAGTGATAATCACTTGCTTTACAAAAGAAGGCTTATCCACATTCTGCACGAGTTTTCATGCCCCAAAAGAGCAAGGTAATCTCCCTCCCCTTCTGATCCCAGTTTTTGGAAAGGAAACACTTCTAGATTCTTTTTGTGAGAGCAGTCTGCCCTATGCTTTATTGATGTGATCCTCTGTAGGAGAAATTTACCCTATCTGTACAACTTCCTGGTAAAAACAGATCACTGTAGCTGAATATCAGGTTGAAGCATTCTTCAGATTGCCGTGAAAATACAGCCTAGAAACTGACCGGTGGAGGTTTCAGGGTTTGCAGTGAGTCCAGATCCCTAAAGCAAAACTGCGGATTGAGGATACTGGGGGCAACCTGCAAGACATACAGTCAGCTTGCACTCATTTCTGCTGACTCTTACAACTCCTCCTTACGTCATTCGGCATTTGGGATCTGTTTGCATTAAAGTTAAAATGGAGAATCTAGTCCATTCTCCTTTGCTTTCAGAGCTTTTAGAGATTTCACAGTTGGTATTTTAGGGGGGCAAGGGAGTGTACATTTTGAAATCATTGTTCTATAATCAGTGTGTCATTGTTACTCAGACTGTCTAAACTAAATAATCACTTCTGTCTGAGATTTATATCCATTTTATTCTGCCTCTGGCAAAAATTCAAAAGTGCCTCTTCTCTCAGCTTTTTTTTTCCCCCTCCTCTAGCTTAATTTGTCAGTTCCATTCTTAAACATTCTGCATAGATGCCTGGTTTTCTGAGCCAGCTCCTCTCTTACTAAATGGGGTGATGTTATATTTTTAAGCTACTATGTAGGTGACAAGGACATTTTACTCTTTCAGCACTCAGACTATCTAGTCAACACAAGCTTTATGGAAGCAGCTTTGACCCAGCACTGGGAGATGATTTTGGTTTTCAGGGATAAACACTTTTAAAGGGGATTGAGACTCCAAAGTGAGATTCTCCTGCCTGCTCATGAGGTTAATGCCTGCCTGACCACTAGCTGCTTGCCAGGAGCTCTGCTACCCTCCAGTTTTTCCTTTTTCTTTAAGGACTTTAGATTTTCTAAGGGGTTGTTTGGAAGGTGAGACTTAAGGAAACTCCTCCTTATTACCAGGGTTTTCTTGGTGCCTGAGTAAGTGTTACTTGTTGCTGCTTAAGATATACCATCACCAGTTCTCTTTCACTAGAAACTGAGTACTGTCAAGCCATGAGGCTTTCTTGTCACAGCCGGCATTGTCACTGCTCTGAATGCTGTCAGCCCTGCACGTTATTTGTCTGTAGTGTCGTAGCGTGGTGGGGCCAGGGTGGCAGCCATGCTTAAAAGATTATTTATATGTTGCTGCTGTATTTGCCCATGTCTTGGAGACGATGTGAGAAAGGAGCTCTGGCTTCAGATCACTGCAGAGTTTTGGTTTTCTTCCCTCTCTTGCCTGTGGAGGCTGAAATGACCACACCTATGAGGTAGCCCTTCTGCTTTCACATCCCCTTCTCCTTCTCAGACAATCTTTGAAACTTAAGCAGAGATGAGACTACTCAGCTTACTAAGTCGATTGAAGGCCCCCTTTTCTCTTCTTCATAGTCAAACTTAAGCTTTAGTAAAGTGATTCATCTTACCAACAAAGAATTAGACACTTTTACTTTTTCCCCTCTATAAAACTGTTTGGTTTATGGTTTGAGAGGTCACTATAAAAACAGTATATAGGCCAGGCGCGGTGGCTCACGCCTGTAATCCTAGCACTCTGGGAGGCCGAGGCGGGCGGATCGTTCTGAGCTCAGGACTTCGAGACCAGCCTGAGCAAGAGCAAGACCCCGTCTCTACCAAAAAAATGGAAAGAAATTAATTGGACAGCTAAAAATATATGTGGAAAAAATTAGCCGGGCATGGTGGCGCGTGCCTGTGGTCCCAGCTACTCGGGAGGCTGAGACAGTAGGATTGCTTGAGCCCAGGAGTTTGAGGTTGCTGTGAGCTAGGCTGACGCCACGGCACTCGCCCCAGGCAAGAGAGTGAGACTCTGTCTCAAAAAAAATAAAAAAAATAAATAAATAAATAAAATAAAATAAAATAAAAAAAACAGTATATAAATGTTTAAAGATTCCAAGCATCTAGGTACTTTTGGAACATTGTTGGAGGAATAATCCCTCTTTGTATTTAAGGAGCTGATGTTTGGGGACAAATTGTGTGCTCCGTGTGTGTTTGTGCACGTGTGTTTAGTGTGCTGCAGCATCATCATACATGGCTGTTTATGTTTGTGGATCTGAAAAATCTCCAAATCATTTGTTTGACTTTTAGATGCATTATTTGCCTTTCATTTGTTTTAACTGCCTTGTCCAGCATATTTATTTTGTCTTACACTCAAAACAAATTTCTACTTCTGTAGTCTCTAGCACCCAGTAATGTGGGGTGGGGACCAGCAATGTGCTGGAGGGTCCGTATGCATTGAAGGGTAGAGGGTACCCTAGTGTTGAGTGAAATTTACTAGATTTTAGTAGACTACCAGATTTTTACTAGATTTTGTTTTGATCAGTTTGTGATTGTTCCACCAGAGGGCAGTGAAGGAACAGACACAAGGTAGAGTTCAGACCATTCCTTTTCCTAAAGAGCAGGACAGGGTTGCCTTCAGCTCAAGTAAAGGTGAACAATATCCAAGATTAGGTTTACTTGAGTCCTGGCTCCCCATAAATAATGGTGCTGGGAAAATAGAGTCTTTAGAGCTCCAAATTGTGGTCTGTGAAGGTTTGGTATACATTAATTTTTAAACCTGAGGCTCTAGCACAGTAGCTGATAAAAATTCTTAATTTTCTCCTTGAAATAGAAATGGACGCATCACCTTTTATCTCTTATCATCACTTCCCATCACATCACACAGCCCCCCAGTCACACTCTATGTTAGCCTGCTTTATTTTCTTCCTAGCACTTACCACGGTAAGAAATTATCTTGTCAATGCTTTTGTTTACTTATATATGGTCTGTTTCCCCCACCCCTCTTCAGGCTGTATCTCTAGCATAGTGAGTGTCTGGCACGTGGTAGGCGCTCAGTAAGTTTTGGAAGGAAGGAATGTTTGCTCTAAATAGCAGTAACTGTTCAGGTATGCTGTGATTTTTTTGGTTTGTTTCACTTTTCATCTCTGAGAAAACAGAGTCTGTCCTCCAAACCAGTCTTTCCTGGTCTCCTTTCCTCAGCTTAGGTCCTGACTGTTGGGAAGAATGAAGATGAATGCTTTTCTGAGTCTCTTTGCTCTCTCCCACCCTAGCTTGCCAGCAAAGCACGGACAGAGAAAGAGGAGAAGCTGAGCCAGGCCTATGCAATCAGCGCTGGTGTCTCCCTAGAGGGCCAGCAGCTCTTCCAGACCATTCACAAGACGTGAGTCGGGGGAGCAAAGGGTCCCTGGCAGAGGGGTGATGCTATTTGGCTGTGCTGTCTGGTGGCAGACTTTTGGGTGGGGGTATTCCTGAAAGTCTCCTAGGGAAGTGGGTAGAGTATTGGCAATACACCGGCATCGAGAGCTGTGGGTGCTCGTTGCCCCCTTTCCACACAGAAGAATAGTATAATCATGGACAAGTCATCTTCTCTGGGCTTTAGTTTCTTGTCTGTAATACTTAGTTTTGGATTACATTATCCCTAAGAGTCCCTTCCAGACCTATTAGCCCATAATTTAGAACTAGTGATGTCTTTCTCTTCTATTATTTTGTTACTGTTGTACATTTCTTTAAAAGCTGATACAGTTTTAGTAAGGGAAAGTTATATCTATATCACTTTTCCCAGTTGTAGACTGAGATGAACACAGGGAGTTAGGGAGAGCAGAAGGCCACCTCTTAAAAGGCATTTTATCACAGCAGAAGTCATTTGACTCTCCACTAGCTTCCCTAGCTGCTGAAAAACTGGAACATTTGACACCCCTTGCCCCCCCGCTGCCTTCTGTTACCCTATTTAACTAGGGTCTGGTGCACAGATGGCAGCTGGCATCAGAGCTGTTTGAGGCCATGGTGTGACTATCTGAACATTTACAGGTATGCAAAGGAATCTCTTAGTAGCATCAGCTGCCCTGGGGTTCCCCAAGTGTGAACTGGAATGGGTTTCCCAGTCTGGCAAGTGCCCAGCTGTCTGATAATTTAGAGGGACCAGTTCGAGGAGAGGCTACCATTGTAGGTGATAGCGGACAGGGTACAGATCACAATAAGATGTGTAGTTTGTTTTCTTGGCTTTGTAAAGGTGGTATTTCTCCCTAGGCCAAGGGTTGGCAAACTGCTCCAGCGGGCCAAATCTTCTCATTTGTTTATGTATTGTCTGTGGCTGCTTTTGCACTCCTATGGCAGAGCTCAGTAGTTGTGACACAGATCATATGGCTTGCAAAGCCTAAAATATTTACCAAATGACCCTTGATAGAAAAAGTTTGCCAACGTCTGCCCTGGGCTGTTATCTAAGTTGAATCTAGTGGCCTGAGCCTAGTTGTCTATTTGTAACAGAATTTAGTTTTCACTTCTGGGGCTACTATCAGTTTTTTTGTGGTTCTCCATCCAGGTCCCTTATGCTTCAGAGTAACAGTTCTGGGCTCTTCTCAGAATAATGTGCATGAGTTTCATTGCTTTGCTAGTGCGTGGTGCCCAGGCAATGTTTCTTGGTTGCTCTTCTCTATGGGCTACTGGCATCTAGTTGTTGGCTGAGTGGTGAGCTGGAAACTCAGGGTCAGACTTCTGGAGTAATTTATTCAATAGGCAAGAGGTGAAAGGTGCCCCCAAGAGGTAATATTTCACCTGTTCTCCTTTCCTTCCAGCATTAAAGACTGTAAATGGCAAGAAAAAAACATCGTAGTCATGGAAGAAGTTGTTATTACACCCCCATATCAAGTGGAAAACTGTAAAGGCAAAGAGGGGAGTGCACTGAGCCATGTACGCAAAATAGTAAGTAAAGGAGCTGGGAAACTATAGGGGAGAGAGGGTTCTTTGGCCTTGACCCTCCTCCAGCATCGAGCAGGACGTTGTGCTACAGTACCTGCCCCCTCTAGCAGCCCTGCCTGGCCTCTCTGCTTTCCCTGCACTGGGGCTCTGCAGCTGTGGCTTCGACACTCCTGTGGGGATGGATCCAGTGGGCGATGGGGAATAAAGTTGAGTGGTTGATCCTGTGTCCTTTGCCGCGTGGCTTTTTGGAATTAGCCAGACCATTCCATGGTTTTGGGCCTGAACAATTCCTCTCTTCCCAGGCTGGGTTCTTCTCAGCTGCAGGTGCCCTTCTAGGAAGGGCTGGTTGGTATAAACCAGTTGCTGTTGGTGCCTCTTATGTCACCTGACTTACTAGATTGAGTTATAGAATCTATAAACACAAACTTAAAAAAAAAACCACTCCTATCCTTTTTTTTTCTCTGAGGGATATCGAGAGACCCACATTGTAGATGTGAGAAGTATAAGACTAATTCCCCACCAGCTGTGCATTCTGTACTTGTGTAAAGTACGGAGGAGTAGTTTGGGTCATTTTAATCTCCCCTCATTTTATATTTTAGTTTGTAGATTCGACTTCTAACCAATCTTAGTGGAAACTGCAGAAAATGTGGCTGAAACAAGAGGGCCTCGCCTGCCTGTGGTTGGGAAGGGCGAGGGCATCTGAACGGGGGACGGGGCTGTTGAAGCCTAGACTGGATTGTTCGGGAAACCTTGCTTGCCTGTCTCCATTTCTGACCTTGGTCGCCTGATCTCTTTCAGGTTGAAAAACATTTTAGAGACGTGGAAAGCCAAAAGATACTGCAACGTTCACAAGCCCAGCAACCACAGAAGGAGGCTGCCCTGTCATCCTGAGTCCATACACATGGAGGACTCTTCCAGCATCCAGCCAAGAAGGCGGTGGTGGTGGCTTCAGCGGAGGCAGGCCGGGGGAGGGAAGGGATCCTATATGTCCTGTTGGCTCTTGTTAACAAAGGGTCAGCATTTCCAAATCTTAGACTTGAACAAACAAAACACCCAACAAAAAAGAACAAGAGAATAATTTAAAAGTTGAATCATTACTTGACTAACAGACTTCGGTCCACCATGTCCTTTTCACAGCCCCCTTCTGGAACAGTCACCTTGTTAATTTTATTTTTGAAAATTTCTTTCCCGCTCTACCCTTTTACTTCTGACTTTTCTTTCCTAGTCTGTTCCTGCCATTCTGTTTTTATAAGTGGCTACACTTGCCTTCTGAGTGATTGAAAGAAACTTTTACATTTTTTCTTCCAAAATAAAAGTAACAAGCTGACTGTGATTCTTAAGTTGAGACCAGAGCAGCAGACAGAGGTCTCACTTTAATTTTTTCTTTTGTTTTTCCTTTCTTTTTTTTTTTTTTCTTTTTTTGCACAGGGCATGGCTTGAATTAGTTTTATTTTTCTTAACTTTAAATATATATATGAAAATATATATTAAAATGTTCTCTAAATATTTTCTGCTTCTTGCAGGTCTCTTTTTACTAGATCATGGCCACTCTTCCCACCTCATCCCTCCGAAAATAAAAATGTATTGCCCTCCCCACCAACCATAGCCCACCAACTAACTTGAGTTCACAGCACGAATCTCCTGCAGCACTTGATAGAGCCAGTGTATGCAGATGGGATTTGGTTTTGAGGGTTCCTGATGGCTTTTTAGTCTTTTATGTGTATCAGTCTCACATTTGGCCCAAACCTCAGGATTCTCCCTCTGCCTTTTGTCTTACTTCATGGGACTAGAAGAACCTCCTTACCATTCTCTCCAAATGGGAGAGTCCGCTGCCCTTTCTCCTGTGCCTCTGCGGGGAGGGCTCTTTTGCATGGCACATCTTAGCTCCTCCTCCTCGAGGGATGGTTTTCTTTTATAAGAAACCTGGAATCCATCTACCTTGACTTCTCTTGAAATCTGTATCCAGAGCCACTAGCCCAGGAAAAAACTTGGGTGACCTGCAGTTTCTCTTCCTCTGCCATCTTCCTGTTCTTATGCCCCACCTCTACCCCCCTTTAATTTTACAAGCTTATGACAGTTTGTATTTGCTCAGCCAATGGGCAGAAAACCTAGAAAGAATTTCTGGACTTTAGCCCACCAGTTTGTCTGGTTTGACTAACCTGCTGAGAGCTAAAACTGGCATCCATTGCCCCTGTGCCTTCAGGTGGACTCATGGGGTAGAGTATGCCACCATCTGATTATCAGGCACCGAGTGGGATACGGGTGATGCTCATATGACTGGCTAGAGCTTTGGGGGTGGGGTGGGGGATAACTATTTTTTTGGCCATGATCTCTTTCCCCTTCCTTTTTTTTTTTAATTAAATAAATGGATCAAAATTAAATAATTCAAGCCCTGCCTTCAAAATGAAATTTTTTTTTTTTTTAGTATTGTTTAGCAAAAACAATAAAACCCAAATTTTTTTAACCATCACTCATGTCTTGGGTTTGTGCATACTTTAGAGGCCTCAGAGTGAGGGGATCTGAGGCATCCAAGGAGGGTGTCTGTCTGGTTTGACCTTCCTCTCTAGAGTCTCTGCTTCCTACTCTTCACCCCCTCTTTTCAGTCCCCGAGAATTCATCCAGGAATACACTGCCAAGTGTTTACTTTCAGCAGGGGATCCAGGGCTTGGAGTTGTGTGTAAGTGGAGTGTGGGGGGAAAAGGTGTGGGTACCTACATGAGGGCGTTCGTCACAGGACTCTTTGGAGGCACGAATGATGGAAGAGCTGAGGAAACTCACGTCCACCTGCCATTGCTCAGAACTTGATTTAAAGAACTGAGCCTCTGATTTAGTCTGCATGGGAATGTAGACTTTTGGAGAAGGTAAAAGAGGGAGAAGAGAAGACACCATGGAAGATCTGGAAAACCTAAGAGGTGTGGATTAAAGGAGTGACGGTGATTTTGTTAGTGGGAGACAGCAAGCCTGGGAGGAAGCTCTGTGCCGTGCGTCCCGCACCTTCACCTTCCTCCGCATTAGTTTCTGGGTCTGTGAATGGGGGAAGTGGGTAGCAACTAGTTTTGGCAGGAAGCACTTTTGACTCCTTAGATTTAGTTTCTAAAATGATGTGGAGGAGCTGAATGTGATGGCTTGTTCCTGTAATCCCAGCTACTCGGGAGGCTGGGGTGGGAGGATCACTTGAGGCCAGGAATTTTAGACCAGCCTGGGCAACAGCGAGATCCCATCTCTTAAAAAAGAAAAAAAAAGTAGCTAGGCCTGGTTGGTGGATGCCTGTAGTCCCAGCCATGTGAGAGTCTGAACTTGGAGGATCACTTGAGCCCAGGAGTTAAAGGCTGTAGTGAGCTGTGATCATGCCACTGCACTCCAGCCTGGGCAACAGAGTGAGACTCTGTCTCTTTAAAAATAAAAATGAAGGG